CACAACAGTCTCCACCTCATCCCCAAACCTCCCTCCATTTCCTCAGTCCCCGTGACTCCCCACACTCCTGATGTGCTCTTTCCACACATTGTTGTATAACACCCTCACCTCTGAGTTCTTGCCCACTTCCCTGGCCTGGTGGGATTCCATCCATTCCGTCCTTCTCTGTTTCTCCTCTGATCTTATCTGCTCCTACGTCTTTCACCATCACCTGTAGGCAAATAACTGCCTTATCTTCAGAGCTGACTTCCCTCCAGAGGGAGTCTCCAAATGTGCAGAAGACCATGAGAACTCTCTACCCTGCTACTCCAATGGCCCCCTAAAACTTGTATGTCCAAAAGAAAGATCAAATACTCACTGTACCTCCTAATCACACTTTATTTCCCTATTTCCAGTTTAACTATGCAACCATCTTCCCAGTCATCCAAGGAAAAAACAACTCAGAATCAAACTGACCTCTACTTTTTATCTTGCCTGCTACTGAAAATAGTTACCCAGTCCTGTTTCACTGACATCCGAAGTGTCTGTGGCATCCAGGTGTTCCAAGAGCATCTGCTTAGAACCAGGACTGGAGCAGCACTGTCCCTTCTTCATCTCCTTCCCTCTGCTGTTCACACCATCTCAGACACTACTGCCACCAGAGGGTCTTCCTGAAGCTCTGTTCCCTTCACCACACCTCTCGCCCCACCATTCACCCATCAGTGGCTCCCATTATTCATGGAATAACAATCCAACTCCTCATCCTTCCCCTCCTCTGTCTCCTCAAAGCCTCTTCTCCTCTCTGTCCCTCCTTTTCAATGACAGTTTTCTTCCTTTTATAAGAATCTGTGAGCACCTTCTCTTCACTTCTAGTCATAAACTCCTAAGAACGAGGGCTGTGTCTTAACCAGCTTTGCACTCTCCACAGTGCCTCAGTCTTTCATTCTGCTAATACCTGTTGCACACCTACTATGTGCTGGGTACTGATGATACACTGTTAGGTTAGATCCAGTCCCTACCAACCTGGAGCTTACAGTCTAGAAGGTGCTCAAAATGTTCACTCAATGAATAATAAAACTAATCAGTCAACTGGGGGAGGGGGTGAATACAGCTTTGGGGACTGAAGGTCTAAGTCTGTTAAAAATGAAAGAAGTTTTAGGCCGGCCCGTGGCTCGCTTGGTAGAGTGCGGTGCTGATAACACCAAGGCCGTGGGTTCGGATCCTATATAGGGATGGTACAGTCTAGAAGGTGCTCAAAATGTTCACTCAATGAATAATAAAACTAATCAGTCAACTGGGGGAGGGGGTGAATACAGCTTTGGGGACTGAAGGTCTAAGTCTGTTAAAAATGAAAGAAGTTTTAAAAATTTGTTAAACTCTAAATCTGAACACCACAGTCTGTCTCGTTTCCTTTACCAGGCTGGAAGTTCCTTAACAGTAGCTACCATGGTTTTGTGCATGGAAATCACTAATCAGTACTGACTGTATCAATGAAAAATAAACCTAACTTACTTCTTTTCATAGATATCTGTAAATTTAAAAAGAGGCAGACAGCAGGCAGGAGCATCCTGAAGAATAGATATTGTTTCTGCACTGTAAGACAAAGTTTCAATTAATTAGAGAACATACCATTTCTTCTACATTAGTTATATTTTCAAAAAGGAGTTCATAACATTAACACAATGTGTATGCAAAATAAATTTACTGGTTTCTGATATGTCAGAATTTATTTTCCAGAAAAATTTAAAGAAAGGATTTTAGGGACAAGCCAATGAAAAATATTAAGTCACACACTAGGATTTTTCTCAGACTCAATCATAGGGCTTTCCACAGTTGTGTAGCAGAAAGACACTTTTAGTTCAGAGCAAAAGGCAGAATAGCTTGAATATCTCCTGCCGTACTGTGCTTAATATGTTAGATATGTGTGACTGGAACTCCGGTAGTTGAGGATACACAACTCAATAGAATATAATCTCAACTATGGTTTTAAAAAACAAAAAGGCACCAAAAACACTCAAAGGGGGAAAAAACCCACAAAACAAACAACCAAACTGTTATAAATGATTAGCTTTGAACCACAGGATTATAAATTTTTCCCCTGCTTCTTTTATGTTTCTGAACTTTCCAAATTTTCTTCAATGAATGTTATTTTTATGCTGAGAAAAACACCATAATTTAAAATAATGGAGAAATACAGGAAGAAAAGATCTTTGATCATCCAAACATTCAGAAGAGAGTCTTGTTTTACTTGTTCTCCCCAAAACAGGGAGAACCAAAGAAGAATCAAATCTTATTATGAATAAAATCATTACCAGATTCCTAATACTGATGTAGCTGTAATGTAGACTTATGAGGCTGGGTGTCTATTTGACATTAAGGCTGTATCTGCAAGTTGAGAGCGCAGAGCTTTGCAGATCTAGTCTCTGTGGACAAATCTACCTTCTACTAAGACCTGAAGGGAATGTATTAGACTTTTTTAGGCTTATAAACTTTTACTGTAGAAGTCTACTGTAGAACGTGTTCTGGATGTGGAATATTATTTTATTCCCAAGTGCCTGTCAAGTTTAAACTGTACTTCACCTTTAAGGACTTGAACAGGAGTCAAATGGCTTATTTCTAACTCTATCAATTGAGAATAAATATTATCGTATATGTAATCATCACAAGAGGGCTGGGAATGTGATAAAATCTATTTTTATTATTTCTAAAGTTGTTTCCAGGTTAAATGTTATTTCTTGGAATAAATGGCGTTTTTTTTACCTCAGTAAAGACAGTGATTTATTAGCAGCTCCTGTGGCAAGTGAGACCAGGATCTTCTTGCTACCAATTTTGTATCTGTGGAGGCTATTCACTGCACTGATTGCTTCTTGTAAGTTTTCCATCTGAACAACAGCCTTGAGCTGATAATCTGTATGGGGGCTGAGCTCAACACTCCTCACCTACAACAGTAAAAAAGGAAAACAGAATGCGATGTGTACCCAGAGTTGTGTCATCTTAAAACTGAAGGTGAATCATTACGGACCACGCTTGTGGATTTCAGTGCTTTCATGAGGGAACTTGTCTGAATTCTGCACTTCTGCCAACCAGAACATAAGTAAGCTAGCGTAAGGTGATATTTAGAGACATGAAACTGGCCCGGTCTGCCTCTATACTCTGGCATGCACAGGTCTCCAAGGCAGAGTTGGAGGACAACACATGGGAGGAGTCTTAGGGGTCTTTTCCAGACCCTGCAAAAAAAACCTGGGGCATAGCCATTTTAAGAATCTATAAAAGGTGCATTTTTAACCAACTGCACCTAAAAACTGAGTCAGATACAATAAGATATAAACAAAACAGCCGACATTTAAAAATTCTATTCTGTATTGTAACAGGTAAAGCTAAGTAAAACCCATCAATGTTTTATTTCTCAAAGTGCCATTTAAACCCGTACTTAGAACAAATGTTTCTCCCTGCTAGGTTTCTTGCTCTCTGGGGCTATATCCTAAAAACCGGATATATAGCATGACCCCAATCAGACCAGAGGGAAAAGGAAAGAGTTCAAACCCATTTGAGTCACCCTAATATCCTGGCTGTGGTTACGTGTGTCAAATTAAGTTCCTTTTTTTTTTTTTTTTTTTTTAAAAATGACCGGTAATGGGATCTTAACCCTTGACTTGGTGTTGTCAGCACCACGCTCAGCCAGTGAGCGAACCGGCCATCCCCATATGGGATCCGAACCCGGGGCCTTGGTGTTATCAGCACCGCACTCTCCCGAGTGAGCCACGGGTCGTCCCAATTAAGTTCCTTTGACATGAAATTCCAAAGGGTAAAACAAAAGGAAGAACAAGAGGGAAGAGGATACCTTGCCATGCCTAGAAAATGCTTCATGCACGAGCTGCTGCAGCTCCTTCCGGGATAATCTGTAGTCTATGTTGCTGACCTGAATGTCAGCACCATTTGCATATGGGTCTAGGCAGTCGGCTCCGCTGCTCGAGCTTGCAACGTTGAAAGCAAGTGGGGAGGCTCTGTTTAAAAGGTTTGGAGACACGCTCCTGCTAAAAACACATGTATTGAGATTATTTTTAAAAAACTGTTCTGTGTATTTAGGTTTTATCATTTAGGCTCTGTTTGAAGCTATATAAAGAAACAGAGCTTTCCCACAATACAACCAAACTAAACATCTGGTTTCCAAATGTGTTTTTAATCTTAAATATACAACTGACTTAGATTTATTGTCAAAAGTACTATCTGTTGACCCCTTATAATAACCAATAAATTATTTAATATCAGATATTCTTTCATTAGATTATTTAAAGCTAAAGGTGGAAATTACAGGCAGCCCTGATGAATTAACTTTCTGCTCTGGGCATTTATTCTTAGGAAATTATCCTGTGATACCAACTTAAGTCGTTTAACCTCCCTTGTGGCTCTGAAAAAGCTAGATATTCTTGCTCATATGCTGCAGTCCTTCTGCACATGAGGAAAACTTTTATATGAATTTTTAGATGTAATTTTTCAGGTCCACAGTCACTTTCTATAGTGATCCTTCACTGAGCCAGCAAAACAAATGCAAAGTGAGAAGGAGCTCACGGCAATGCAACAAGGCTTATGGCTCCTTTGTCTCCCGAGCCTAAATAATTAGCTGGCATGAGCTTACAAAGCTTGGATAAGGTAAGTAACAGATAATTACAGTAGTTTACAGAGACCCCAGCTTCTCAAACAGCTTCCTATAAAGTATCATATTAATAAGAATAACCAATCTGTGCCTAGTGTGGGCTTTTTCCTCAACCTGATGAATGTAAGGACATCTTAACATGCCTCCCATCACAGGCCAGGTACTCCAGGACAGGCTTCTCTCTCTGACTTCTGCTTACCAAGATTTCCATATGGAGGAGGGAAAAATGGTGAGAAACATTGCCCCTAAATGTTAGCTATGATAACCTGCGGAAAAGGGGATTGGTGGAGGAGAGATGTAAGGGATGAAGACTTAGCTTTTACTCTGTGCACTGCTGTATTGTTTGAACTCTTTTCAACAACCATACTATTTTGTAATCTTTCCTACTGCAGGTAACCACTCCCATGGGTCAAGAAGATGGACTTACCTAGAAGACCAAGACTGAGATGTGAGCAGAGGACTGACTTGCCTTGATGCAATCAACCTGCTAAAGGCAGATGGGTAACTCACTTGGAATACAGTCTCTTTATCTTTTTTCTCTACTGGAGAACTGGTAACACTTCGAGCACTGAGGTTCTCTTTACTAACAGAAGAGAAAAATTGAAGGGAAAAGGTCATATGTCTGCCTTCACATTAAAGCAGCAAATATGAGAAAGAGCAATGTAACATACTTCTGATTGGTTTTGTAAACTGATTCTGCCATCCCCAAGTTTTTAGACGTCAGCACTGCAGCATTTGAGTTACTGTGAGGACATGCTACCGGCCTCATGCCTCCTTGCTGGTGCTCACTGCTTCTATTACCTGCCTTTGACTCCATGCGGCACAGCTCCTTAAAAGACACAAGTGCAGTGGGGTTTAAAATTTAAGTACTCAAGATGTGTTACATCCTGTACAGAAAATAACTGCCTTTGAGTATCAAAAACTGAAATAAAAAAAGGACATACCCAAATCAAGCAGGCACATAAAACAGAAACAAAGAAACCAAACCTACCGTAAACTTCAGAAAGCAAGAGGTATCAAAATTACCTGTAAACTTTTAACACTTGTACTTCTTGCAGTAGATCCAGAATTTGCCTGCAACCCTTTTCCAGGCATGGCTTTGGCACTGGAAGATTGTTCATTTGTATCTTTGATGAGGCACAGTTTTGAATTCTTAAGTTTTTTGGGGGACTTCACTTTATCAGCAATTGCACTTGAACTCTTTGTTTCACAGAGTTCTCTATTTTTTGGAGTAAATGACACGATGATCCTATTACCAAAGACATCTTCATTTTCCATTCGCTTCTGAGCCCGTTCTGCACTGTCTTGGTTTATGAAGCGGAGAATTGCACTGCAGCCCGTGATACTCAGCACTTTTCCACCACAGTTATCAGACAGGCGTCTGAGCCTGTTGCTGATGCTCTTGCCGTCTTTATTTGCTGGTAGATTGTAGACGTAGAGCAGAGTGTGGCACTGCTAATACAGAGGAAAAAAATGTTACATCTGGTTAACCCAAGGGCACACATTCAATCTCAAAATAAGAACAGTGAGTGATCTCTAAACTTCAGCTAACACCCTTGGAGGGGAGTGATAGTGATTTAGCTGGGAGAGGGTAAACTTATCTAGTGTTGACAAAGGAACAATGTTGTTTTGAGGAATATGCTAAGCACGGAAGTCTGCATATTGTATGATTCCATGGCCAGAAAAGAAAAATATGCAGAGACAGAAAGATTAAAAGCTTCCAGGGGGTAGGAATGGGGATTAACTATAAACCAGCATAAGGGACCTTACTGAGGTGATGGAACTATTCTAAAACTGGTTGCACAACTTAATAAACTTACTAAAAAGCAATGAATTTTATACTTAAGAGGTGAATAGGGCCGAGCCCGTGGCGCACTCGGGAAAGTGCGGTGCTGGGCGCGCAGCAGCGCTCCCGCCGCGGGTTCGGATCCTATATAGGGATGACTGGTGCGCTCACTGGCTGAGCGCGGTGCAGCTGGTCTCAAGAAGGACAAAAAAAAAAAAAAAGGAGTTTGACCCTTATCCTTCGAATTCATTTCAAAAACATTTCTATGCATACATGTATCCATTACCAATATATAGTACTAAATTTGAGCCCGTGGTGCACTCGGGAGAGTGCAGCGCTGGGAGTGCAGCAGCGCTCCTGCCGCAGGTTCGGATCCTATATAGGGATGGCCGGTGAGCTCACAGTGCTCACTGGCTGAGCGCGGTGCAGCCGGTCTCAAGAAGGAAAAAAAAAAAAAAAAAAAAAAAGAGGTGAATATTGTTAAGCATAAATCATATCTCAATAAAGTTGCTTTTAAGAAGTCTATTTTATTTATTCAGCAGGGCTGTTGAATATATAAAGTTAGAGCCTGTCCAGCTACAATAGCAGGTTGCCAGTAGTCAGCTTGGAAGTTCTATTTGGCAGTGGGTGTTCAAAACCCTTCCAGATAAATTGAAATCTATGTATTAAGAAATAGAACCATTAAAGTACCACAAGAAAAGATAATTACAGAAAGGGTTAAATCCAGAAGCCATAAAAGAAATCACTAAAAATGGTCAAAGGATGTGACTAATTTACAGGAGAAATATCAAGAGCCAATAACAACAATAATAAAAGGATATATTACACCTTGCTAATGATTAATAAAATGGCCAACTATAAGCAGATACCATTTTTCACCTATCGGACTGGCAAATATTTAAAATAGACATTCTCATTTATTGTTGATAAGAGTATAAATTAGTACCACCTTCCTGGAGGACAACTTGGATCTTGTTAGTAAAACTCTTACCCAGAACATTCACCCTTTGGAACTTACCCCTGTGGACTATTAGCCCAGGAACCCATATTGATATGGAAAGACATCTAAGCTATGACATTAAGTAAAAAAAGAAGTCATCAATCCTGAATATGTGACACTATTTTTTTTTAACTACATTTAAAAAATTTATCACATTTTTAAAATTTGGAGGACAATACCAAACTGTTAAGACCGGTTACCT